CAGACTTCATGTGGGTTTAAGAGAAGAAACTGAAAGGTTAATCATCTGGGAGTTATCTACAGCTGTCTCTTCGACGAAGGGTGGAATGGTTAATTTCATAGCCTGGCAGGGAAAACTGAAACACAGAAAAGAGGCCTTCCCAGAACGGGGCCCTTGAGCACAGGACACATAGAAGAGATTACACCTTGAAAATGAGCTTTAACAGGACAACACATCGAGTCATATTTGAAGGCAGGACTGACGTGAAATTTACCAAGGACAGAATCTAAAACTGCGACTTTATTAATGTTATAAAAATAAAAATGTATAAAGCATGAAAAATCTTTAAGGGCATTTAATACACTTCCTACAACTTCTAAAAAACCTCTTTAGAGAAACAAAGCATAAGTCACCACAACACTCCGAATCCGCTCTTACACATAACCTACACATTGTTAAAAGCAGACTGACAGCTGGGTTGTCGTAGGAAGAATGCCCATTTAACATTTAATAGATGTTCATAAAGTGCTTCAAAAGTGCCTCTTCATGTTTACTCAGCTTGCCAAGAAGACATGTTAATGAACATCCCAGCAGCCACCCAGCTAAGCATCCCTGCTAAAGGTATGCAGCAGAGCCGAGTACGCAACACAGTGCATCTCGTTCTCCGCACAGCCCATTTGTGGGTGTAATAACTGTAAAATGAGTCCCACATCAAGGGACAGTCACAAAGCAATGTGTTTTATGAGCCTCAGCTGGAGGAAACACCCCAGAGTGATGACAACGAGTGTTAGCCCAGCTACAACCACAAAACTAATAAAGCTACGCTGGCTAACGTCACAGAAAAACCCTCACAAGTGGTCTGAGAGGAGTGACGGGATTCAAGTTTGAATGGTGGTAAGGAGAGGGCAGCGCACGCACAGAGGTTAGTGACACCAACACCAACGCAGCCATATCTGCTTATACCTGTATTGTTCTATTGCAAAAGAAATTTGAGAGAAAAAAAAAAAATCAAAGCTCATGTGAGCGCTGGACAATCCACATTCCTTCCATTTTAGGTCTGTGATTACATTTAATTCCAGAAAGTCCGAGATTGAAATACCACGTAGGTTCAGTCTCTTTAGCGTAACTCTTGGTGATTACATGTCGAGGTCTCCAGTGGAGTTATCTAACCCTTTACCATAGTCTTCTGTAGATAATTCACATTACTACTTAGCGATTATACTGCGTTTGCGTCCCAGGAGATGAATGTAAAGTTGGTGACAGCTGAAACAAATTAAGATTTCTGCTTTAATAGGATACAAGAGCATATTTCCATTTATCAAATGCATAATACTTATATTGCAGGACAGTCAGATCAGTGCATTTCCAGTCTCTCAATATTTAAGAATAGTTGCTGATGTTTTTTATTGTTTTGTAATTTTTTTTTTAAAGCTATCTGATTTCTGTGACAGCTTCGCATATCTGCTGTTCTACAGAAACAAACAGAAAACACCCATCAAATGACATGAAAAAAACAAACTAAATATCATTCAGTCAAAGACAAAATGTTCTGATTGAAGAGATAAATTTTTTTTTTCCTCTTTGCCCCCATCATGTCATCACCAATCCTCTTCCAGCAACTATATTTATAACACACAGCTGAATACAACAAGTCAATGCAGGCTCTCAAAGAGCACTCTGGGAAACGCAGTTTCAAAGGCAACTAATTTCTAATACCGGCACCAAAGACTCGCCAACAGTAACACACTGTGTTAGCAGTTTCAAGTCAAGCTTCACCAAAAGGCCCGAGAGCTAGCTGAAAAAAAAAAAAGTACTACAACACCCATGATCCTCAGCAGTTTAAACTTGTAAAGTGCAGCTTTAATACATATGGTAATACCAGTTAAGGCATTTTGTTTTGTTCTAAGATATAAATTAAGCCTGAGATGTTAAAGTGCTGTCATCTGTCAGCATTACTGGATACATGTCTGGATTTTTCTAGGAACCTTTTCCGTTTTTAACTGTTTACAACACCACTGCTAATATTAAGCTTCAGCATTAGTTTATTTTTCCAGGTGTACAAAGGGAAGACGTGTCTCATAAAGTTTCTGGCTTCCTTCATAATCTCCTAATTAAGACACAGCTGTACTGTTTGCTTAAAAGCAATATACCAGTGTGTGCCTAAACATCTTTCCCATTTCACGTAAACCACTGTTATATTGAAACTGATCACCAAAAGGTCTCTGCAATGCAGCCATTAAAAACACTCTGACATATAAGTGCAATGGGAGGAGAACTTTTTACAGCAGAAGAGTAAACATAATTTTTCCTCAGCACTCTTCACGCCACCATCTGCTCCTCTGTGATAGGGTGCTCTGCCAACTCAGGTGCCTGCAAAGTATTGTAAACAGTGGAGTCTGCAAGACAAACTATGATAACAGTTTTTTGGGGTTTTTTTTAATGATCTCAAGTGCCCGTGTTTAAATGTCATGTATTAAATATTTTCTGTGAACATGAACCACCAAAACCACACATCAAATATGTAGTGGTCAGGTTTGTTTATTTACAGTTAAATATTGAACATGGTTGCTTAACACAATGATTAATACACTTCATCGCGGGATGCTTAATGAAACTGCTGCGTTAGGAGGAACTCTTGATTTTTCGGTTGAAGTCGTTTTCTTCTTGGTCTTCCCGCAAACGTCTTCAAACTTCGGGACTTTCTGTTTAACTTCTCGTCACAGTTTAAGACCGCCGCCCCATCAATTAAATACCGTTATTGTTACGCTTTTCCTTTTACATTTTATAACAAATGCATGTGTGAAATTCGCATAGGCAGGGGTGTGGAGCATCAGGAGCAGTGTCATCTCAAACCACTTCCTTTGACGCATGTCATTTCCACTGTGCCAGACTGAACACACCCTATTATAACACTTCTCACTGTGGCCACCCAGTTTCACATGCACAGGTGTATAAAGAATGACTGTATAAAGTGACACTCAACAGTTTTCTGGACACCAACAAATGTGTAGCGGTGATTCAGAGAAGACGAAAACTGTCAACAGAACCCGAGTTGGTTTGCACAGCTTAAGACTAATAATCTGTAATTTTCTCTCTCCACAGTGAGGTCAGAGAGCTACAGAGCAAGTGATTTAATGTCTTGCTGAAGGACACATCAGCAGGGTCACGCAAACGCTGTTATGTACAGTATGGCATGAAGGTAACCAAAGAGAGACTCTTGGATAGAAGGCCACTGAAATGTGATGCATAGAAGCTGCTTTCTGTCTGGATTTGTGTGCTTTTAAAGGTGCTGTTTGCTCTGCAACTAGTTACTCTGCCATTGTGAAAGACTTTGCCAGCTGAGAACACCCACCTATGGAAAGATGATTTAACATCCAACTAGTCTCCAGTGAACCTTCCAGACATAAACTGAGGGGCTGTTGGCCGTTTTAGGCTTAATGATAATTAAGACAATGAATGGTGAATAGCATAGCAGGGAGAAATATAAAAACGCAACTCTAACTATAAGGAGGATGCTTGTGGTGCTGGTGATTTCACTTTCCACCCTTTCCAACCAAATAAAAACAGTGTAAAGGTGTAATAAGCTAGAGCTTTGTATTTTCGCTCAATAAACTGATGTGATCAACTGCCTGTTAAATGACTATCCGGTTAATCAATAAATCTTTCCGTTTCCAGTGCTTTAATTATGTATAACATTGTGAAATTGTTGACAGATGTGCTCTTCCCACTATCTTTGTGCTCCGAGGGCCTCCGAGGGGGGTGATAAGAGAAGGTGAACTCCGGCAGGTATTGAGCCTGTAGATCCGACTCTTGTGCAGTAATATCGGGACATTCGTGGGAAGCCTTTGCCGAGCACCATTTAAAGGCAGCGAAAGGAGAGCCTGGTGCTTTGTCTCGTACGGAGCAACTGCTGCTATGAAATGGATTCACAGCTGCCGTGAACAATCCATTTCACGGCAGTGTTGGCGTTCAGTCTCCAACTGAAACGCATTCTGAATATAATGTAAACCATAAGCAGGGAAGGCCTCTGCACACCGAGGCGCGACCCCCACTCCAGCCTTTCGGGCTTGTGAGTGAATTTGCTTTCGAGAAAAATGCATCAGCTTGCATAATATCATCTGAAATCACAAAGCCTCCTGCTCGATTTTGTTTGGAAGGGGAAGAAAGAGAGAAAAAACACGAGTGGAAATCGTTGAGCAGTAATTACACTTCTTCTCTCCCCCCGCCCCTCCTCAGGCTGCTGATACAGTGTTGCACACCCACCCAGCGCCCACTCACTGGCTACAAAAGTGGCCTCGCTGCTCTGCCATCTCATGGAAAACAGATGGATACTCGCCTCTTTTCCACCTCCAGGTGAGCTGCCTCTGTGGGATCCCCGGCCCACTGAGCAGTGTGCACGATCGAGGCTGTGGAGCCTGGGCCGCCGGGGCTACCTTCTAGTCTCCAGAAGCCCCTCACTATCACATAACCCCCTTCCCGTCTAATCAACAGCCAATGCAGCCGCATACTTCTGCGTCAAAACACCACACGCTGACTTTACCTGCCTAATTAGGCTTTAAACACACCGAAACCTACAATGACAGGTAAGAAGGCACCGGCGCAAAGAGCCCCGCTGCGCAGCCGAATTTCGCTCCACAGTCAATAACGTGGATATCATTAAATGTCTGTTATGTCATCGTAAATATCCACCAAACCACTGCCGCCTGTGTGAAAAAATTCGCTCGACAGCCTTCATTTAACGCAGCCATCTAAGCACGATGCTGCAAACACTCCCTGCCTTGTTCATCTCCAGCCTTCGGGGCCTTACGTTAAGGTGCCCCGGTGAATCTGCGTGCAGTTCTTGTGCGAGCAGCAGATTTCGGCAGAACATGTTTGGGTTCTGCCCGGAGACAAAGCACTGCGCAGGGATGCGAGACAGAGAAGGCATAAATCCCGAGAAGGACAGGCGGAAAGCTACGGCCAAGTCGCCGAAGAGGGGGAGAAAAGACGATTCATTCTTGAAGCCATTAAGCTGAACTTACCTTCCCGTGCCTTCAGGAGAACCGTGTTGGCCACGATATTTTCAATCTCCATTGTCAGAATGTGAATCCCGAGCAGTCGCGATACATTTCACTCAGAGGAAAAAAGACGGTTTTTCTGATCAAACGTGCCGACGACGGTGAGGCTGCTGCACGCGCGCAAGGCGGACTCTGCGCTGGCGCATAGTAGGAGTTTTAATAGTGGTCGTCGTTCCTCTCCATTGCAAGATGTGTTATCAAACCCTACCTACACAGCTATACGGTTACGACGGGGCTTGTTAGCATTCACAGCCTCCCTCCCGTCCCTCTCCGCCTGCTTTCCTTCCTGTTTCAGCTCCCTCCTCCTCCTTTTCTTCCTCCTCCTCCTCCTCGCCCCTTCTCTGCACAACGAACCAGCAAGAGCAGGAGGGATCAATTTACAAGCGGCACAACTACACACAGATCCACACACAAGTGCATTCATGTATACATGCATGCATGTCCAAGACTTAACCTCCTGAAACTGCCTATGGTTATGTCATTTATTTGGGATTAAAACGTGTTTATGTGTGAGGTTTTTTCCAAGTTTCTCCCGGGAAGAAAAACATAACGTGATACATTGAGAGCTTACTGGAAAGATCTAGGAAAGGAGACCCCCCCATCCCCATTTTTTTAAATGAATCCAAAAAGCCTTTCTAAACATGAATGACTGTGTTAATTGGTAAAGTTTCCCTCGCCAGAATTTCCTGCTCAGCTGTTGCATGAGCCGCTTGCTCAGGAAACACGGATGTCACAGAGGCCTAAAGTTGTGTGAACAATGGTGTCGGGGTTTAAGCTGCTGCAAGTCGAAGCCTGACGTACAGCGATAACAAGTTGGTTTTCCGCCTATCATGTCCCAGAAACCAACTGGGACTGTAATCTGACTCATTGATCTAGTAAACCCTTAGGGGGTGGGGGTATGCAAAAAGCACTCCGCCTCCTGAGATAATGTCGAAGAGGTAACACTTTATCAACTTTTGTTTAAAAATGTTTGGAGTTTTGTGACTGGTTTTGCTTCTGTGCATGAGAATGAGCAACTACTACAACAACACAAAGAAATCTCTTTCGGTTTATGTTTTGCTACGAGGGTCATGCAAGAGTGCCCAGGAGTAGGCTGTGGAGAATCAAAGAGCTCAAAGGTCACTGATTCTCACAGGCTTTTGTTAGGCTTTTGTTCAAGATACAGAATCGATCAAACGTGTTCTGCCTGGACTGGATACGCGGTGTGAAAGCAGTAAGACCGAAAGTAAATGTCAGAATAAATGTATTTGTTAAGGATGTATGTTGTGTTGCATAAACAATAACTGCCAGCTTCCTCGTCCAGACCAACACAAATCATACTTGACAAACAGTGGCTCGGGTGGTGCGCATAGATTCAATGCCTCCACCTTGTGGTGATAACACAGAAATACAAAACATGCATTACGTCATACAGAGTTGCATCGTTACAGTTTAAGTAGTATTTTGAGAAAAATAAGCTTTTATTTAGACAGATAAACGTATCATGTGTGAGTCTGACATGCAGCTTTTGCATATTTACTTATTTATTGTATGTAAAGTATTTAAAATAAGTAATTTGGCTAATTTTAAGTCATTTAAATTAACATAATCACCATGTTGTAACAGAAACCTGGTTACTCGGATTGTTAATCAACCATAGACAAAGGGTTTTAATTCATTTGAAAACCTGAGGTTTAGCCTTGGTCACACTAGCTGGAAAACTCAAAAAACAGTTTTATTTGTTGTTATCTATTGCCCACCGGGGCCTTACTCAGACTTTTGAATCTGGTTTAGTGCTCAGCTCAGATAAAATAATCATTGTGTGTGATTTTAACATCCATGTAACTACTAAAGCTCATCAGGTCATATAATCTATTATTAGACTCAACTGGCTTTATTCACAATGTAAAAGAACCCACCCACCACTTTAATCACGCTCTAGATCTTGTTTGAAAATGTTACAAAATCGTGTGACAATCTCACAGATTAATTGTGTGCTGCTTGTTTTAACAGATTGTGATGTTTTCTTGAGGTTAACGATTCAAACAGATAATGGGTGGGATGAGATAAACTTTCCAGGTAACTGTCCAGGTAATGAGAGGTAAGGATGTCTTCCAGGGTAGGTAGCTGTTGGATTGTGATGTTTTGTGAGCTTTTATGACTCTCTGCAGAGCGTTTCTGTGTGCCTCAGTACCTCCTCTTTGTATGCACAATCATTGTTTTTCAGAATTCTGAGAAAAAGTCTGAACTTTTGTCTTTACTTGCCTTGGAAAAGAAAACTTATTTACCACAGATCATAACTGTGATTGCAAACGTTGCCAGAAAAGACTAGTTACAAAAAAACAAAACAAAATAAAAAGGTTGTGAAAGCAGCCTTCAATTCTAGGTAATTCCGTTCAATTTAACAGCCATACTCATTTAAATATATTTAAATAAAGTTAGTATATAATTTATAAATATTTATAAATATTACAACCATTAAGCACTGTGATCACTGCTGTATCAAAAGAAAATGCCATCTATAATTATCAATATTAAGTCAACATTAATTAACCAAACACAAAAATGTTCTAGTAAACAAATTTGTTAATTCATGGCAGAATCTTCTTGCTCTGAGGTGAGACTACTAACCACTGCAACACCATGTCTCCCTATTACAGATCTATGTAAACGCCCCCTCTAGCAAGGCACCTTTTCACCTCTGTAGACCTCTGTTCTTAATGTGCACTACATACTCCCACTTTACTGTTTCACTGCTTTGAGATTCCCACAATATCCTTCAAAGTTCAGCAGGTGTCATATAGGGTATTTTGACTGCAAATGTAAAAATAGGTCAAATCTTCCCTTAAGGCAACTTTCTTCTGCTTGGCTGCGTCTAACCAACCTTAGAAAGTTTTGAACAGCAGGTGGGTGTGGCTACTGTGCTCACAGTCTGAGATTAATTATTTATGCCCTCACTAACATCATTAAGATCCAACAGCATGATTCTTTTGCTGACACGGGACATTCAGAGCAGCCTGGAGTCTGAGCCCTTTGCTCAGAGGGATTATACAGACAGTAACCTCATTAATTGAAACTTAAAATGTGAAATGAATATCCACCATTGTAACAGTATATATAAAGAACTTGTACTTTTTTAGAATAATTTCTTTTATTCCTTGTTTTATACTCCACCACAATTTAGAGTAAAATATTGTAAAATTCAGTTTAAACTAATGAATTACTGCCTATGCAAGGTATCTTAGAGCGAGAGGCAGGGTACACCCTGGACAGGTCACCAGTCTGTTGCAGGGCTGACACTTAGAAGAGGACAACCATTCGCACCTATGGACAATTTAAAATTTCCAGTTAACCTATTCCCACTAACTGCATGTCTCTGGGAGGAAGCCAGAGTACCCAGGGAGAACCCGCGCAAACATGCAAAATCCATACAGGAAGACCCTGGCCTGATGGTAGAATTGAACTCAGAAGCTTCTTGCTGTGAGCCAACAGTGCTAACCACCGTGCCAACAATTCATTTTCATTTTTTCCCACCCATTTCATTTTAATGCAAGCCACACTGACAATGCCAGATGGTGCAGTTGGCATTAACGACTGTATGAAGATGAGGTGATGATTTTGAATCAAAGTTCTACACAGTCTCAAAACATCTGAAAACTCAACGTTTGCAAGACTGACAGTCATAAAAATAAGTGAATGAATTTAATAAAGTTGTATTTCCTGTTTTACCTGTATTACCTGTTCATGGTGAGAGATTCATTAGATTAGGGCCATTTGCAGTTTTGGAGAAGTGGTCAAACCAGGCTTTTCTCACTGTATGTTAGAGGTTACGCACATATCCACTGCATGTAGATGGGGATTACAGTTAAAAAAGAATTTGCATCTTGGTCCTGTTTTGGACCACAGAGAGCTAATCCTGACGTGTTTTTTTTTTCCAAGTCAAGAAAACTTAAGCGAATGGTTTATAGAATAAATGGCGGAACTAGTGGATCTTTTTTTCCCGCTGTCTTTACTGGCCTGGTGTGTTCATGCATGCAAGGAATTTAGTGAGTGTGTAGACACAAACATGGCAATAAAGTTGAGAAAAGATGGAAGCAACCAAATTATTAATATTATAAGATTATGACACTTAGAAATATAGTCTTTAGTCTATGTCTACTAGTGACTTGATTTTTAAGCATATAGGACAAAAAGTTTCTGTATACAGACAGTGCAAAGATCTGAATGTCAAGGTAGCTTAAATAGCACAAACCAGTTTCCCCCTCAACCCCAACCCCCCCTTTAAATTATTGTGTGGTGTAAATAAGTTTTACTATGTGCTTAAGATATTCACCTTCAATTAACATTCTATTTAAAATAAATAATTAAGGTCAGTCTGAGGTTTGAGAAAACAAGTGCAGGTTGAATCTTCTCAGTTTTTCCACATTCAGCCAATTTAATTACAAAGACACATTACTGTATTAAATCAGAGAAACCTGTCAGCAAGTTCATTGGACGTTGGTGTAGGATAACTGGCCATGGCTGTGATGTTTATTAATGAGAAAGCTGTAAAACTGACGAGTCAGACATAGGGCTTGGATTAAATTGCACCTGCAACACAAAGCTCTCTATGGAAAAATACAGTGAAAGCGTAAAATGCACATGTGGCTTCTTTGCAACTTTTGCAATGTGCAAACCCATCCTGTGGGCTAAATTGAACTCTTTTGAGGGCAAGCTGTATTAGATGTGGCTTAAACATTAAATAGGTTGTAGGTAGTGCTTAAACACTGTGTTTAAACACTGCTCTGTTGGTATTAGGGGCCAAGAAACTATTGCCTACATCATTAAACCACCAAGGCAGGATGGAGCCATGCTTGCCATCCTATCATCTCAAAGAAGCCTGAACATTCTCCTTTGACATTTCTCAAGACATGTTTGCTCAGAAAAATTACAATTAAATACTTTGTTACTGTACTTTTACAGGTATCTGACTTTACTTGAGTATTTATTTTTCTGACAAGTTATTACTTGTCAGAAAGCGGAGCGCTGCTGACGTCGACTGAGAAAATTGTCAGGCGGTGGAAGGAATACTTCGAGGACCTCCTTAATCCCACTGACACGTCTTCCGAGGAGGAAGCAGAGTCTGGGGATGAGGGGAATGACCCGCCAATTTCCGGGGGCGAGGTCACTGAGGCAGTTAAACAACTCCTTGGTGGCAGAGCCCCTGGTGTTGATGAGGTCCGCCCCGAGTTCCTGAAAGCTCTGGACGTTGTAGGGCTGTCCTGGTTGACACGCCTCTGCAATGTTGCGTGGAGATCAGGGGCAGTACCTGTGGACTGGCAGACCGGGG